CGCAATTTTTTCATAGTTTGTAAAGTAAAAATACATTGTACCACTTAACAAGTTACAATCTTAGATTTTCTACTTTACAGATGCATTTTTGCACTCTGACTTTCGATTTTAAGGTGCATATAATAATTGGTATACTACTTTTGGCAGCTTCACTTCATTGATCTCTTTTACCTCGGCAGTAAGTATTCTGTGAGATAATCTAGGCCATAAAATATATGTGCAACTATTTTGCTTGAAAAAATAACAAACATAGGGATGGAAATCCATCCATCCCACAAACATTTTTGTTTATAATTTAGTAAAATTAGTATTAGAGTGATGTGTTCTTCTCTAAATATATTTTTTATTCAAAGTGTTAAATAATTTAAATATTCAATTGCGGTATGGCTAAATATACTAATGCCCGTACTGATTGGGTAACTTATTAAATAACCGAAATTCATGTTATTTATCAATAACTTTTAACAGATAATTACACTATTAGATTGATGCCTAAACCTTCTAAGTTTTTAATATTTGGAATCCATCTATCCTCTTTGAAAATATTGGAAGCTTGTATTGGGGACATTGTATAAACTATATAATTATAATTTATGACTTCAAGAAATGCCTTGTGGAACTCCATAACTCTGCTCTAACCTTGAACACTTTACTCCGTTGCTTAGGAATGACATCATCATCCTCATCATCATCATCATCAGCCTATCGCAGTCCACTGCTGGACATAGGCCTCTCCCATTGCACGCCACTTAGATCGATTTTGGGCTTCTCGCATCCAGCTCCTGCCAGCCATCTTGCGCAAATCGTCACTCCACCTGGCCTGTGGGCGTCCTACACTACGTTTGCCGAGACGCGGTCTCCACTCAAGAACTCGTTTTCCCCAACGGTTATCGGTTCTGCGGCTAATATGGCCAGCCCACTGCCACTTCAACTTGCTGATCCGGTACGCTATGTCGGTGACCTTAGTTCTCTGCCGGATCACCTCATTTCTGATGCGATCCCTTAGAGAAACGCCGAGCATAGCCCTTTCCATAGCACGTTGAGCGACTTTGAACTTGTGGACCAGCCGTACCGTAAGTGTCCACGTTTCAGCTCCGTATGTCATGACGGGTAGGACGCACTCATTAAAGACTTTCGTCTTAAGGCACTGTGGGATCGACGATGAGAAGACTCGACGTAGCTTCCCAAACGCTGCCCAACCCAACCGAATTCTTCTGTTCACCTCGTCCTCGAAGTTGTTTCTACCTAACTGCAATGTCTGCCCGAGGTACACATAATTTTGAACAACTTCGAGAACGGCACCGTGTACCGCAATCGGTTCCGGTAGTACATGTTCGTTGAACATGACCTTGGTTTTATCCAAGTTCATCCGTAGGCCGATGCGTACAGAAGTGTCAGCTAAGTCATTCAGCATTTGCTGTAGGTCCTGCAACGTCTCTGCCATGATGACGATGTCATCTGCAAATCGCAAGTGAGAGATGTATTCGCCATTGATATTGATGCCACGCCCTTTCCAGTGCAGCGTCTTGAACATGTCCTCCATTGCATTTGTGAACAATTTCGGGGAAATAACGTCCCCTTGTCTCACTCCTCGATGCAATGGTACGGGCCTTGTTTGCTGATTCTGTACTTGGACGGACATGGTGGCGGCTTCGTAGAGACATCTCATCACTTTGATGTATCGCCAATCTACTTGGCAACGCTGCAGGGACTCCAGAACAGACCAGATCTCGATCGAGTCAAAGGCTTTCTCATAGTCCACGAAGCAAAAAGGAGTCTGTACTTTTACAAACTTTCATCTCTCTCATTTCATCTATCTTTGTAACAAAATTCATCCTTACTGTTTATAACCCTTAAGTCTAAAGACGTTACAAAGAGAGATGGACAAAGTTACTTTTTCGTGTATATAGAATATATTTTCATGGGAGAAATAATGCTTCAAAGAAACATATGACGTTAAATAATGGCTTAGTAAATTCTTCCTTTTCCTGACCCAATTCTCCATCAGAAATATATATTACATTTGGTTACTTTAACAACTATTTTATTTGAATAGAGTATGTGACACAACGACAAGGTATGAATATATCCAGGTTATTTTAAGAAATTAATTAACTTTCTTAAGATTTTCGTAGTGCTAAGGTGATCTCTTAACTCGTGAATATGAACATTTTTAAACGACGTTCTAAAAATCAGACGGCTAGCATTCGATAAGAAGAGTCACGTTTGAGATTACATAATTAACAAGCTTTTATAAATTAATTAAAAAAGTCATAATCATCAACAGCCTTTAGTAGTCTGGCAGGCTGGACAAAGGGGACATCTCCTTAGACAGGAGGTTACTGGAGGGTAACAATAAGTAATATAATAAATGAAAAATATTGCAAAAAAGCAATGGTCGATTTCTTTAATGGAGTGTACTCAAGGATGACTGGATTCTACAAATAAACAAATTACACACTAAGTATTTATTAGAAAAGGTCATGAAATTTCTATTAAATGTTATCGACGACCACTTTATTATTTTATCCCTGTCTTAAAACTATAATAAATAACACATTCGCGTAACTAATATACGGCTTCAAACCAGGATGTCATGACATTGAATATTTCGAGGTAGGTAATATGAGTAATCGATAGGTCGAAGGTTTTTCTTGCACATATTCCTCTAAGAACAAATAACCGTGATCATCAGGTAGACATAAAATACCTACTTCTGAACATTTGACTATGAAATTGTGCCTTCGATATTCTACCTACAAGAAGCACTTAAATCAGTTTTATTTATTATTAAAATAATTTAATTATTTTACATTGTAAGAAGTGGATCTAAAGCCGTTACTGGAAAAATTCCAGATCATCTATCGACTTTATGTAATGCTGTGAAAAAAAAGAAAAAACTGAACCAGTCTTTGTGATGACTTTATATATATATATTTTTTATTCAATAAAATGCGTATATAATATATTTAGGTTGACACTACATATGGAAGAATTTTGTCCTGTGCACAGGACAAAATTATAGGAGGGGTTAAATAGGCCTAAATAGGAGTTCCTTGAGTAGTAGGAATAAAAATAAATTAGTATGAGGTTCGGCAGCCATGTTGCTATGCCATGTCCATCTTCGAAAGGCATAGCCAGGGCCGCCGGTTGCGGGTGTGCATTTATTATTATTATTTACTATTATAGTATCATCTATTAACTTCGAAAAACTTTATTAAACGTAGCTAATTCAGTTGTAGCTGCAGCAGATGTCTGTAGCTGATTCAAAATGTACATGCCATTTGAATCACTTAAGACGTGGGTGCTGGACTGGATTCACAAATATTCCATCCCAGACGAAAGAGGCGGCTTAATCCTGGCACGCTGTTATTGCGGCGGTAACACTCGTTATGGAGGATTGGCTCGATAGGAAACATGGGAACCTCTGACACCAGCTGACGCAAATTTGGAGATTACTGCGATGGCCAGAGCGTGGACACGACGCTTCATACGCTGGCAGAATGCCCGGCGTGTGTGGAGCAGAGGCATGACCTCGTGACTGATTGCGGTCATGGTACGGAACGAGCGTACGTAGAACTCCGCTAACTCCTTTTGTGAGCAAATAATGCACGCGAAGGAGAGGGCGAAGTGGGACCCGGAAGATCCTCTCCCGCCCTGCCAGGCCCGGGGAGAGACCAGGTACCGCAAGCGGCTCGAGCACGGGAGGTGGCTGAATGATCACCTCCCGTGCTGTGGGCGGATCCAAAATTCGTTGTGTCATTATGATTGACCGAGATTTAGTATTATTAGCAGTTCTGGCTGACGATGAAGAGAGATAAATACGAACTGCTACGTTGAAGAAATACCATTCTTCGGTGAGAGAGTCATGGTTCGGCACAAATGGGCCGGCTCGACCAGTGTTACCATGGCCTCACAGAAAGCCGGTGTAAAGCAATTCTTTTATTGCTTTTCATCGACTGAGTGAGGTTACCGGGGCCCAAGTTTACTAACAGGGGAGCTGTGCTCTTTGTCATATCAGTTTAAAAAAATATTTTAACACAAATATTTTAAATCTGAACCAAAAACCACTTTATTTCCAAAATTCAAAACATAAATCAGAACCGAAACAAAGTTTTTACAGTTTCGAAAAGAATAATCGATATTAATAATTTCGATCGTTCTGATAAATACGAGTTGATTCGACTGTGAATATTAATGTAACTAGTTTTAAAAGCTCACGGAACCTACCTACATAAAGAGTTAATAGTCCTTCAACATTTTAAAGCTGCGCACACGCACACACATGTACCCACACAGCCACAATCGTCATTATAATATAGGTTTTTTTATATCACCATTACACCATTAAACCACCATTACATAAGTTTTTATGATCTTATTTTTTTTATAATATTAACTTTAAGGCTTAGAAAACAGAGCTTGTTTTTGACTAATTACATTATATAAGGACTGGTGATCGTTACCCCTGATTTCAATATACAAGCAAAACACTGTTTCTACTTCTGTAATGCCAAAATTTGTTTTAAATTGTTCTTAAACGATTTACAATTAAGTAAAACATTTTAAGGTTGACTGATTTGATACGTAAAAGACAAAAATTTTCTAGAATTAAACATAAAAATATATGGTTTAAATTGTAATTGAAATATGTTAAATGGAGTACTTAAGTAATTCAGGTACCTATGTAATATAATATTAAGTAATATTTTTTATCAAGATCAGTCATTAAAGTATCTCTTAAACTTTCAGAGGTACAACCAAACACGTAAATTAACGTTTTTGATAAAACTTCGCGCCAAACTTCATTGCGTTGAGTATTTATGTAGGTGCTCTTTGACATAGTAGAGATCATGCTAAAAGTATTGAATCCATTACATTCTGTACGATTTTGAAGATAAAACGAATTATTACGATCGTTAAACTTTCATATCAGTTAAGTTTATCAAAAAATTTCAGTTAATCGGGAATTGAAACTCCTTGTGGTAGCCAATCTATCAATGGAGCCTCAACCGATCACAAGCCGTTGTAGCGTGATAGAGTCGCCCTGTGATTGGTTGGTGTTGACGTGATATCTATTTTCGTCGCAAGCCAGAATGCGCGAGCTGTAGCAACTGCGCATGTGTGCGCATGATACGTGTCGTATCGATGTGTGCGTGTGTTGTTGAGGCGCGCTCTCTGTTTACAGCGCGGTGCTGTAGCCGGCGAGCGCACGCATTCGACACTGTGTTTCGTGCGAAATCGAGTTTTCCGACGGCTGCCAAGCTGCATGAGCGTCGATGGTGTTTTCCTCTCGGTTTATTGGTGCTAATACATGTCGGACGTAAAGAAAACATTTGAGAGCCGCGTCCTCATCCAGTTTGGAGCGTACATTCAGTGCAGCTCATAAAAATATACGTGTTTTTGGCGGATGCGATGAATAAATTTTGCGAATCGAGTCTGTGTGTCGAAAAGGTTCGTGAGAGCTATGTTTTGATCGGTTGGCGTGTAGTGGATGTGCCGGGCGGTGCGGACGCGATACGGCTCGCGGTCCTCATCCTGATCTCAGTGAAACTGAGGCTGTGCTGCAAATTGTTTTCCGAGCGAGCCCTCAGTGCGGTGAACAATTTCGCGAGAAACATCCAGAGGGACTTGTTGGACACCCGGCAAATACCAGTCGGCACGTGCTGAGGTAGGTGATGGCATTATGTGTGACCTTGACTTTTGTTTCACTTTAAAGTCTAAGAAACATGGTAAAATGAAATCTTCTTCTCTACATATTTTCTATACAAGTATAAACATTTATTTACACTTACTAACAACTCTATCGCCTCCTGATTAGCACCTTGTGGAACTCCACGAATTTGTTTCTTCACAAACCTTATGCTAAACGTTGATATTTGATATTCTTCAAATATAGCTAAGTACAAGGAAATAGAAAACATATTTTAAAAAAATGAACATCGATATAAACATATTGATATAAACTATGACAACATAGTCTTATAAAATACAAATATGTTCTGAAAAGACACTTAAATCGATAATGATCTACGATTTTATCCAATCCATCGTTAACTTAATCTACTACTACTACTACCTATACCTGTCTACGTTACTCTTAAACATTTCTTTATGGGAATTGCTTGTCTAGATTTCTCGACACGTTGGAATAGGCAGATAAAGAATTGCGTTGATAACAAACATTCCGGACATATTTACGAACACATGGCAGCACATTGATATTGCTTGGCATTCGTAGATTGCATAAAATGTAACCAATATCACGCTAACACCTTATCGCTGTAAAATACTAATGTGATTCTTACTATGGGAATTATATCTTACTTCCCTCCAAACTACTATTACTCGTTTCAAATTAAATAAACGTCGGCGTCTGAATAAAACCAGCCAATGCACCAATTTATTTATTCATTTTCTACACTTATAATGTTAAACCCACTATTAAATAAACATATAAATTAAGAACCTTCTGAAAGAACGCAATGGAATAATTTTTTTTTTATGAAATAGGTTTCAACTGGATATACGAGTATATGGTTTCCATAATCAAACTAAACATATAAGTTTTACCCTTATTTATAAATAAGAAAGTGAAACAAATGGCCAAAGAAAACACAATCTGTTCATATACTACGTAATACTGAAACATTTGTAAGATAGTTTTCTTTATATGAATAATAACGTAACAAATGAAGAAAACTGTAACTAGTAAATTCAGTGTGATGGAAGAAGGCAAACTCATAGAACACCCATAACTGAATAAGATCTAACTAAGGAATGATAAGCAAAGACTTTGAATGAAATAGCAATAGCCGAATTGAAAAAGGATAAAACTGAAGAAGTTAAAAAGGTAAAAGAAAAGAAGTAGGTATATAACATATTATATACTGAACATGATGGACGTTAAATTATTATAACTTGACCTAAAAAGGCCCGGCAGACGATAAACATCAATGTGTAAAGGATTCGTCAACATCTTTGAAAACAATTCATACGAATTCCAAATCTTGACATTGTTATGGACTATCTTTGAGGCCAACTCTAGCTCATTCGTTAGGAAGATTTAAGCTAGTCTCATATCATGTTTCGTCGCGCGCCGTACTTATTGGCGCCAGTACTCTGTCGAACAATAAGCTATAGAACAATAGGAGAATTAACGAATTTTCCACTACTGGATTATAGGTTACAATGTGTATGGATAACGCATTGTGTATTTTTGGCGCAAATGTAAATCACCTCCTTGGCAAGCTCGTTTTTATATTTAGGTATTCATATTTTCTGCATTATGTAAGTTGTATGTTTAATTTGGCTACATTAATGTTTAGTCCATTTACAGGTAATTTAAGGTCGGAATGCATTTTCCAATTGCAATAAATTGATGTCTCATACTCCGTCGATCTTAAAACGGATTTTATTTATATCAAGGAATATTGCAGTATCAGACATATATTAAAATAAAATAATTAGCAATTAATGGGTTTTTATTAGCAAAGCAAAGCAAAGCAAGAATTATCTATATTTTTTTAAGAATCTGAATGCGCAATAAAATAAGATAAGTAATATTTATAAAGCACGGTAACAGAGAGGAGAACCTTCAAAATAATCATTAAAACTCTATCCCAAATTGTCTATAATCCCAAACTGTCCATGATTTTCCACCGATATATATGACAATATTATTTCCATGTGTACAATTTGTAATTATATGAACTACATAAGTGGTATTACAACACTGGACACTCATGAATGGTCCTCATCGCCCACGCAATGATTTTTTTATAGCAGCCGTACATCGAAAATAATCGCTTTACCAGTGCAGCGCAGCTTCAATAGAGGTCACCAGATCTGAATTGTACAATCATTGGTAATGAATATCCAGGTGTTTTTGTAAGCGCTCAAGTGTATTCGAACTCTCAAACAAAACAATTATATGCCATAATTTAGGAACAAACGGAAACAAACACTTACAGTGTTAAAATATTTGACGTTAAAAGTTATTTCTAAGCTGTGACATGGTTACTTGAATACCATAATATATTTAATGCTAAGAGTGCACACATCCGTGATAAGAACATTCAAGTAGCACACATGAATCAACTTGGCCTCCACACATCTGAATGGATGTTAATTAGTACGTTTGTTTTAACACTTGATATTCACACATGCACACACAAACAGACACGCACACATACATGTGGCTGCACCATGTTAAATGATTATAATGAACCTTCACATTTTTAAACTGTTTACGTTTTGTGAAAGATAAATAGTATAGATAAGGGACTTCAAAACATAATTTATAGACTGTCATGTTATTACAGATTGCGTGAGTACCTGCACGTTCACTAGATCAAGTAGGCTATGTAAACATATTGGAAAATTGACAACTAACAATAATATCAATCAACACATATAAACCTTAGATATACATAAACGTAATTTGAGCATGAGAATAATGCGTACGATAAAACTTTTGTTATGTTTTTTGTATTGAAGAAGTACTTAATCTCTAGCTTACAACTGCGCAGGGCGGAAGTCATGCGTTTACAAGAGTAATAAATTAACACTTTTGGTTGTTTCAATTCGATGTTCCTTTAATGTGCTCTGCCCTTGGTGAAAGGTCAAATCAAAAGCTACATTTATGAACACCGTTGACACGCATTTTAACTTTAACATAACACACACTGAAGTTTTGTTTATATTTGTTTTGTGTATTCGGTAATTTTCGAGTGGACGTCGATCACTGTAAGTGGGCATCGAAGGACGCTTGTCACCGCCAACGCATATTAATTTATCAACAACATATCATATTGTCGATTGAAATATCTGATCCTATACAAAAATAGCAATCATTAGTAACTATAAATAATGTTAAGACAATAACAATAAACGTAGATATGTTGTGGGAATTTTATGATTGTGTGGTATTGACAATAATATTTGCAGTATTTACGACACTGACTATATAAAATATCTTGGCAGGATTAATTATATTCTTTAGAAGAATTTCCTGTCGATGTAATTGAACAATTTTCATTACTATAACGTTAATGGGAAAATAATTCAGAAACTGTGTCATCCTTTTTTGGTCGTATTTCTATACCAAAGACAAAATAAGGCACTAATTTTTTAATGAAGGCAAAGAACTAACGTCTCTACTACGAGTATGACCAGACCTAGTAAGTAAACAATTAATTTAAGTTCATTTCGTGATTGAATTAGAAGGATTTGCTTGAAAATATTTTAAGCTAAACATTTTCAAGCAAATCCTTCTAATTCAAAATGTGTTTCAACCAAAGCAGAGAAAACTTGGGCAATGGTTGGTAAAGTACAGATAGCTAGCTTTTTCATAATTGCAAATATTTGAAAACAAGATTCTACACATATTTCATACCAAGTCTTTTTTTCTGGGCATCGAAACAGTGGTAGGGATCGCAAATTTCTTCGCATCTAAAACCACAAAACATTTGTATCTTTCTTCTTTCTTCAATAAACCTACATGTTTTATTTTTCATCCAATACATATAAAATATAGATAAGTACATACTCCTATATGTAGTGCAGAGTAAACGGAATCGCGGATAAGATTGTTTACTCACGGTCAATATTTGAGATCTCACAAACGGGTCAGGCCGAGACGTCTCGGACGGCCATTTGCAAGTGCAAATTTTCCAAGATAAAAATTATCTAGCAGGACTTAATGAAGATTAAGTGATAAAGATACGGCCAATAAATTAAACAGATCGGATAAAGGAGTAAAGCTGAAGATTTTATATATGGGTATATATGTGCCTGAGATTATACGCTTTTGTAACAATATTAACAATGTAGTTGAAATAAATTGGGAATGTTATACTCGTATGTTGTAACTGTAGTGGTCATTTAACCTTATAGGTGCACTATTTTATAGACATATATAAAATTTACAAAACATCATCAACAGCCTTAGGACCTAGGCCTAGAAAGCAGGTTTTGGCCTACTATACCACGCTGGCCCGACGGGTTGGTATAGGGTTTGTTTCAAGTTTTCCTTCTCTTTGCAGTGCCTTTCTGCTGCGTAGTTTGCTCCCGCTGTCGGCTCTTTCAGCACCCATGGGATAAATAGGGGTGGTGACATTCCGTATTCTTAATTCATCACCACACGGACAATACAAAAGAGAATTCATAAAAATTGCTATATTTTATTTCAAGAGCATTAATATAGATCTGAATGTTGTGTGGCGAATTCGGGTATAAGCACAATATATCACGCACAGTATATCGATGCGTACCATATCAAAAGCGTATGAAAATAATAATGGATGTGTGATCTCTATGGGAGTGTATTCAGAAAAATATTCATTTTTGTAATGAAATAATATAATTAGGTATATCAACTATTAAGGAAAGCGATATGTCAAGTTTTTGAGTTATTACGCTACAGATCTAGATAAACTTAACTATTTCTCAGTTTTAAACAACATAGTTTATTTATCTTTCGGATTTATATTTATTTTCGAGTAGATCACAATATAAAAGTTGTACTATAAAAACTTCATTAAATTGTTTGTGATCATTTTGATTTTACAAATTGTTTTTGTTCATTTTTTATTTCCGTTGAAATTACTTGTTTTTGTTATTTGACAAAAATAAACTGAGTAAATTGTTTCATGTGATTTTTAGCACATC